TGCTCCCACTGACCCTGCACAAACCCTGCACAGAGCAAGGATCATCTTCAGGAAGACATCATGAGGAGGAGCAACCCTTACAGAAAAACTGAAAACCACACAAGGACAGATGAGGAAAAAGAAAAAAAACAAACAAACATAACATTACTTGAGTATAAGAGAACAACACAGGCCTGCAGACTGATTGCAAATTGAAAAATTCTGTGAAGAAGTGTCAAACAGGTGCTTTCAGTGTTTCATACTGACAGATAAAAGGGAGTTTGAACTTCTTGAATGACATCTGCTTTAACTGATTTGCAAAAAGGTGTGAAAACTGTGTCAATCCAATGAGAATGAATGGGTTAACACATTGTAAGAGGTGTCTTCTGCTCTGCTGAGATGGTGATGACGAAGAGTGAGGGTCTCAGGAGAGAGCAAACAGTGTGACAGACAGCATGATGTTTCCAGAAACAAACGGAACATTAAACCAAGTCTGAGTATCATCACATTAACATTTTCTTCAATCTTTGGCACTTCAGTGTACACGCCTCAGATCAATTTTTTCTCCCATCTCAAAACAAATCATCAACAACAATAAAGAAAAATGATGTCTGACTACTTTACCTTACTTTGCAAAATGACTAAACTGGAAATAATCCTTAATATTATTAAAAGTGGGGGACCTTTGGTCAAAAGTGTGTTTATTAACAGAAGAATTTTACTCTGGACTTCTAAAAGATGCAGCTCTGCCTCCGTGTGGTCTGACGCTGAAAAACCAGCTGAGGCAACAGTTTTCTGTCCCTCCATGTCCGAAGCCTTAGTTCTCAAGTGGAAAACCAGAGTGACGTCTAACACCTGTCCAAGGATAAGAGATAATAGCCAATTCTGGTACGCCGACATTAATCTAATGTTCATGAATATACACTGTCCTTGTTAAATAAACAAATAAAAATAAGAAATAGCAAAAGGATGAAATGATTCCAGCAGGGTAGGGGTGAGATTTTGGATGCAGGGAGAGGAGTTTGTGTTTCTGATTAAAATATTTCCTGGATGTTTTGTTCTGAAAACCCAAAACTTGCTGTGTGTGCATAAACTGTATCACCTTACTGTAACATTTCCCTCTGATCAATGGTAACAGTTCTCAGAACTGAAGACTATGTGGTTCATATAATTGGTAAAACTTTAACATAAACAAACATTCTGAGTGTTAGCTGATTGCTACTTTTCACCAGACTAGAAAGTGTACAGATTCAGGCATGTTTAACTTGTCTTTGGTAATTCAAATGATATTGAGTGGATAATGCTGATGACATCGCATCACATATTTTGAACTCCCTATACTCTAACATCTCCATGGGTTTATATTTAAGTCCGGTTTGTCTGTGGATATTTTTATGGGGTCCTGTTCCTCTCTTAATGTTTCCTTTTAATCTTGTACAAACTTCATGCAGCACAAATTTACCCTTGGAGTATTGAGAGGTCATCCATTCAAAGCAGTCAGTTGCACACACTCAACCCACCAGTCATCATCAGAGAACTGTGTAAGTCTCAGTTTTACTGCTTTGGGCAACAAAATGTTTCTAATTAACTGAAAACGTTGGTCATAAGGATCACCATCGGACAGATAAACAGGCCATTTGGTCAGTTTTCCATCAAAACACTGGATTTTTTTAAAACTTCCATGAACTCTGTAGCATGATAGGTGCCACTAGCGACACTCTATCCCTTTTTTGCGTCCATGAATTTGATTCTTATGTTTAAATTTTAAGGGTTTTTTTGGTGCAAAGTCTGGAAAAGGATCAGTTCAGAACTAGAAGTTGGCAACATTTTTTTCATAAGTGCTCTAAAGTGTGAGCATAAATCTGTAATACTGTTGGAAGCTGCGGTAATGATTTGTAGTTAGAACTCAGAAGGAAATGTAAAATGAAGTTTTCATCATCTTGAATACAATATTGCAGAGGTACATCCAGTGCTTCATGAGATGTTCTGCCAAAAGACAGGCAGAGTTGACTATAATAGTTATAACTAAGCTTTTAAATAAAGATCTCATAATCTATTTGTAAAAAAAGACAAAAACTAATTGTGTATAGTTATCATATTTGTTTAGTTCTTGATCAACCAGAACTTGGAATAGCGGACACTGAAAAGACTCACAACCTGCCCAGAGGAGAAAAGTAATTAAGTTAATTAAACTATGAGATTCATAAAAGACAACAGGTATATTACTGTAAATTGTTTTCTACTTTCTGAGCAACTTTCATGAAAAAGCATCGACTCCAAAGTGTATTTTTAAGATCTGCAAGCAGTATAATCTGATCCGGTCAGTACCAAAATTTGCCTCTTTTTTTATCCCAGTAAAATTGCACATTGCTTTTTTTCTCAACTAATTTGTATTATTTGCTCATTTGATTTTAGCTGCATCCAGTAAAATCGGGTTTGATGCAATTTGGGGACCTTTTTCGATTTTTGTCACATCCCTACTTAAGAAAAGCAAGACAGCACAGGAAGTATATCAGAATCCAAGAGCAAGTGGTCTAAAGGAAGTTGGTAGTTCAGTCATTGTCAGGAGTCAACACTCTAACAAGAACCTGGAGTCAGACAGAACCTTAAAGGATTCAGCTGATGAGGTGATTAAAATGGCAGCACATGCAAATAATAGAATGACCAGCAGATGGAAACAGTACTACAGATACTGACCAAAGTTGAAACATTGGTTCAGAATATCTGCATTTGTTACTCGTCAGTCTGAGATAGATAACAGAAGTCTAGATGCATTGTAACTAACGGCTTAAAATAAACATAACTAAAATTATATTATCATATGGGCTGCTGGTGTGTTTCTCTGCAGAACAGATGTTAACACATGTGTAACAATTTATCAAATGTATTTATTTGTTGTTTTTTTTTTGTAATTTTCCATGCAGGATTCCATACAACCTTCAGGTGAAAATGAAGACCCCAAACCCAGACCCAAACCAGTGGTTATTCCGTATGTTGCAGGTGTTTCAGAGAAACTGAGACGTTTATTTTCTAAACATGATGTCCCAGTGGCTTTCAAACCCCAAACGGCAAAGGCTGGTTCACCCCAAAGATCCGGTGCCCCGGCACAAACGGAGCAATGT